GGACTCCCCTCGGGACAGCCTTCATGAGGCAGGCGGGGTTGCCACCCCCTTTCTGGGAGACTAAATCCTGCCTTTCTTCTGTGGGGCCTCTGGTGATGAGCCCTGGCTTCTCTACCTCACCAGGCAGGGCAGGGGTTCTGGCTGCTGACCCCCTCCTCAAGGACTCTCCTGGTCCCTCTATCACTCCTGCCCCGAGTCAAACCCTTGATATTTATTATGAGCCTGAGCTCAGACAGTGGACTTTATATTTATCTGTTTAACTTATATTTATTGAGTGCCCAGGCCAGGTACTGTGCAGCAGGGCTGAAGAAACAGACCAAAACAAACAACAGCAAGCAAGACAGACCTCAAAAAATCCTTATTTATGTTAATAAGTGAGAAATAAAGACTCACTCCAAGCCTCCCCCTTTGGGATTTGTGGGGTAGTTTTAGGGGGTCTGCAGAATTCTTTGTTGTGTGAGTTTCATTCATGCAACTTGTCTTTTGACCATCTACTATGTGTCAGGCACTGTTTTAGGTGTTGAGGACACAGCAATGAGCAAAACAGACCCAAATTCCAGCTTTTGCCAAGCTGACATCTTATAGGCTGGTTTGCCACTATGACTGTGATTGTCTGTGACCTGGTGTGCCTGGGCCAGGGGACAGTGTGAATGGTGGATGGTACTGGGTAATAAAATGTTTATAAATGTAATGATGACTTTATTGAGCTTTTACTGTACACCAGACAGTGTTATCTGAGACTCATAACTACTGTATGCTTTAAGGATTTTATTATTTCCATTTTACTATTATGTATGCTCTTGAGGTTATTTTCCTCTATGGTGAGTGGGTGGTGGAAATACTGTACAATACAGTTCTGCAGGAAATCACTTGCCAGCTCTGTCAGTACCATCACGCCAGTAACTTAAAATCAGCCACGGGAATCAGCAAATGCTACAAGCCAGGGCTTGATTTATTGTCTGCTGGTCATCTAGACTTAAAGTAGATTAGACTTAAAAGTATGTCTTGGCTCTACCTGTTATGTTGTGAATATCAAGGAAGTCTTCATCTAGTGTTTTCAAATGGTTATCTGATTTTGTAAAGAAGTTGCTCATGTTTTCACAAGCAAGTGAAGTGTGGACATACGCCCGTTTTATCTTAGTATTTTTTAAAAAATTGATTTCAAAGAGGAAGGAAGAGGAAAAGAGAGATAGAAACATCAATGGTGAGAGAATCATTGACTGGCTGCCTCTTGCACGCCCCCGACTGGGAATTGAGCCTGCAACCGGGCATCGAACCTGGGACCCTTAGTCCACAGGCTAACGCTCTATCCACTGAGCAAACTGGCTAGGCAGGGGTGGGCAAACTTTTTGACT